GGGGGGTGGGAGGGTTGGGGTGGCTGGGTGACAGACATTGGGGAGGGTATGGGCTATGGTGAGCACTGTGAATTGTGTAAGACTGTTGAATCACAGACCTGTACCCCTGAAACAAATAATACACTATATGTTAAAAAAAAAAGAAGAAGATAGCAGGAAGGGAAAAATGAAGGGGGGGAATCAGAGGGGAGGATGAACCATGAGAGACTATGGACTCTGAGAAACTAACTGAGGGTTCTAGAAGGGAGGGGGTGGTAGGATGGGTTAGCCTGGGGATGGGTATTAAAGAGGGCACGTTCTGCATGGAGCACTGGGTGTTATACGCAAACAATGAATCATGGAGCACTACATCAAAAACTAATGATGTAATATGGTGATTAACATAATAAAAAAATAAATAAAATCAAAGCAATAGAACAACACAGTTTCAAAGTAAGGACATCTGATCAAGGAGCAGCGGCCAGTTACTACCTCTGCACCACACTCAAGAAGTAGAAAACTCGATTTGACATTTCGAGAACACAAACTCCATTCCTCAATCTCCAGGATTTTGCCAATTTACATTCCTGTTTCCTGTAAGCCCTTCCTAATCCTATCACTAGGTCAAATTCCACCTGACCCTCACCTTTTTCAACAGTGACTTCTTTGGTGACGCTTTCTGCATTCTATCTACACTCTGCGTAACTAATCTTTTTCTTCATAAATTGAGGTAAAATTCGCATAACATAAAAGCAACCATTAGCCATTTAAAGAGTACAACTGGGTGGCAGTCAGCACATTCCCAGTGTTTAGCTAACCATCTTGGATCAAGTTCCAAGACATTTTCATCACCCCAAAAGGAAACCTTGTGTCTATTAAGCAGTCACTCCCCATACCATCCTAGTTCCAGCTCCCAACAACCATTAATTCATTTTATTTCCAAGTAAATTGTCCTATCATATTGTTGATGAGAGCTTCTTGGAAATAATCTACATATTTAGGTAGTAGTTCAAAAACAGTTTAGTATGTTCTATTAGACACAAAATTCAAAGAAGACAGATTTATTTTTGAGGGGATGGAGACAGAGATGGCATGCACACTCATCTTTGTACCCTATGAATGTGTCCCATTTTCAGTGATCATCAAAACCGAATTCAGAATAATTTTTTAATTTGAGAAACAGAAATTAGAAGTCAATTTTGGAAGTATTCATTAGGCTTCTAAAGTTCAGTAGATCGTAAAGCAGATGGAGTCAAGTTCCCACATATAATTTTAACCCTAATTTCATTGTTTATCTCAAGACTCCAACCACACTGAGCTGCTCCCAAAATGCCAGTTCATAATTACATTTTATTTTCAAATACTTGTCAGAGTTTAGTCTTGGCAAGAAGCACTTTCTACCCTTTGAACTTCCAGACTGCTGAGCTGAGGGAAATGGCTAGAGTTTTCCTTTGAACAAAAGCCTACATGGATTTTTTTGAACTCCTTATTTATTCAAATGTTCTGAATACAAATGAACCACCTTGGTTGGATATTTATTATTGTTCACCTGCCTTGACACAGAAATTGCAAGCACTATGATAAATGGGCTGAAGGGTCTGGTTTCACTGTGCTTCCCTTCTGCTGAAACCTTATTTTGAAAATTTCTCACTGCCACCCTCCCTGGTGAATGTCAGCGTCTGTTCTCCCAAGCCAGTGGTATTCAAAAGGATCTGTTTTTTAAATGTAAACTTAAAATTTCAAGCACATAATGGTGCTTTCTTTAGACAGGGGTTTTGGTTGACTCATTATGAAACTGTATAAAGCAAAAGCAATTAGGAAGTTTTACAGACAGAAAGACTCCTAGACGAAAAGGACACAAAGGTGATGTGAATAAAACTCAATGGAAGCTCAATACTTCATGCTTCATATGTGAATCGACAAACATGGTCATTTTGTACTTGAAAACATTTCATGTGCTTTTTTGGTATCTGGTGTCCACCAAGTGCATGGAAAAGGGTAATTTACACATGGGTTGTGTACATTTTTTAGCATCTGGCTTGTACTGTCACTATGGACCATGTTGAATACAAACCAAGCAATGATTCACTGAGTTGGAGAAAATTTAACTTTTGCCTTCCAGCAATTCATGCCTGCGTGGGTTTTAACAAGAGTGCTAATTCTTTTCCTGAAACAAGGACCAGACAACACTATTAAGGCCAATACTTCTCTTCACAGAAATGGTTGAAGGCAGTTTGGAGGGTAGGTTTATACCATTCTGAGAGTGGGCATGCCTCTTGGACAGATTTCCTTTCTCTTTATAGAAATAAAAATGACACGGAGTACAAATAACACGATGGCCTAAGTTCTGCACCTTTATCATTGGAGGAGGTATATTTTAAACTGACACTCAATAGCAGCGAGTGAAAATATATACATTTCTAATGTTCAAATTATAATGCCTTATGATTTCTCTCGTTCAGATTTCCAAATTGTATTCCCTTATGCGTCAGCACAGCCCCGTGGACATCACCAATTCTAAGTGAGGTGGTTTCCATGACACTGAAGCAACTGTCCTGTGACTTTATTCCATATTTCTTTAAAGAGGACTGTTTCCATGTGGGAATGTGCTGAAGCAAGTCTCAGTTGTTAAAACAATGTAAATTCATGCCCTACACCCTGTCTTTAGGGTGGTTTCCTCATTAATCCAATTCTTAGCCGAGCAATAGGAGGAAATGAGAGGTCCATTAAAGAGAAAATTTGGAGCTTTTCAACAATAACCATAATGGTCACGATCTTGGTCCTAGGTGCCTGCGTGATCGGCCTGCAGGCCTTTCTCTGCCTATACTACCCATAAGTGTGGATTTTGGGCAGCTAGGCTTCTGTCGCATGGCTTAGCTTTCTGACTATAGCTGATTGATTCAGACTGTCTTTTCTAGAAATGTGGAGTTAAGAGTTCCAGCACATGAAAGTGGTCGTTTGCTGAGTGATGTTAAAGTCAGCATGATAAAAATGAGGGTCACACACTCCTTTTGCTGAGGCCCTCACACTTTCTAAGTGGGGTCCATGAAATTCCCCAGTACGCTTCTAGTAAGTTTTTCCACTTTTTTGGTAAGCCCTTTATATTTCCTGCAACATAGGATCTTAAATAATACAACTAATTTTGGGTAAAAAGTTTTTCCTGAGCTGTTTCTCCCTGCCATATTCTTCTATAGACAATCCTCCCCACTCCCAGCAATAACAACTTTCTGGTTGTGCTGGCTGAATTGTCAGCTCTGTCTTCTACAGAACCGTGAAGACATTCTGCTTGGTAATGCTTTTTTTTTTTTTTTAATAGTTGGATTTTCCATTGGGATCATATCCTGGTGTAACATCGAGAATTAATAAATAACATCCTTGACAGCTCAAAATATTAAAGTCCTTAGCAATCAAATTATAAAAATTATGCTGATGATATGATGAGAAGCAAATGGATTTATGTTCAAAGAGAATGCAGACTTGTGAAAATTTACTTTCACCCCTTTGGAAAAGTACTAGGTATTAGTCATTTTGCTTGAAGACTCAAGACTTATAATTTTGCTGAGTTTCACATTGGGAATGTAAATCTATTTCCATCTTGAAAGTGTATTAGTGCTTTCTTTTCTTGACACGTTCACCCTGAAAGAACAAGTTTTTTCTTCTGATAGAAAAGACAAATTCTGAGGCAGCCTGCTTTGTTGACTTGCTCTCTTTGTTCACTTGCATTATTAGGTTTAGTTTTTGAACTATTCATTTCATTTCTATTAGAATTGAAGTCCTTTATCTCCAAATAGTTTTCAACAGAAGAGTCAAATATATGGAACAAGAACGCTGAAAGAAGTTGGAAAAGCAGAAATGCCTGGGCGGGGGAAGAGTGGAACAATTTTTTTTTTTTTTTTTTATGAGTCACCTAGATTATTCTGTGGGCTTCCATCCTCCCGCTGTGTGCTCTCCCTACATAAGAGACACAGGTAGATGTCCGAAAGTCACAAAATTCTCACTGCATTTATCCTGGGAGGTGGGGGCAGGTGTGTGTGTGGGGGGGATTACAACATTAGGAGAAAACCATATATCTGCTGCTTCCTCATGGATCTAATAAAGACCCGTGGGGGCTATGAGTCCCTACAGAGTGCAGCCCATGATGTACTCTTTTAAGTCTCCCTTCAAACTCTAAGTGAGTAGTGTGTCAGCTCGGAGTCCCATGTCTGGAGCCTCCACGGATCTGCTGAAGAGGAGAACCAGGGGGAAGGCGCCCCCCGTAAAGTGGGAAGTCAACGGTGACCTCAGGGAGAACGCCGCCAAAGGAGAAAGATGGCGGCGCGAAGCAGCAGGCCCTCACCCACACAGATGCAGCTTCCCGAAATGCACGACCTCCCTCCTCCAGCCCTGGGTGGTGCCCGCGTAGTAGGTGCTGCTCGGGTGGTGCTCGGTGGAGCACAGGGAGCTGACGTGGTTGCTGCCGTGGTAGCAGAGGGGTAGCAGAAGGTGCCACGTCGCCCCAAAGTCCCTTGAAAACTCCAGTCTGACTGGATCGGTACACGAGCTATCCGTGGAGCATCCCACGTTGATCTGGGGGAGGAAGGGAAAAAAAGCCAAAAAAAGCGATACAGATTACTTCAGAGCAACAGGCCTTGAAATGATTCAGCACTTCATTATTTTCTCGAGAGTCCGTTTTCCTGGGAGCTGCCCTGCTGAAATATTTAACACTATAAAATTCTGTTTTGCCTAACTGAGTAATATCATATATTACCTTCAAATAATAATTTTTTCATAAAGAACCTCAAAGGGTCTCATAAAAAATTTATTTTCCCTCATTTTATAAAAAGCTAGGAAGTGGGTAAGGCTGGCATGGATTCCAAATTTTACTTCTGGCCTACTTTCATAGCCAAGCCAAGCAAATCGTAATGAAAAGACTGTTTCCTTATTTCTAACCATTAACTTTTTTTCAGTCCGCTAGATAGGAAGGCCTTCTGTTTTCCTTCCTGTGACGCCTTCCAAATAATCCCCAAAGTTCCACACGTGAAAAAACTTCCATATGTATTCAACAAAATACAATTATTGTCACGATTTCCGCGGCACAGGGAGAGCGTTTTCAGAAAGACCTTCTTAATCATTAGGGAAATAATTACTTCATTCCTTTTTCCACGCTTTCAAGTAAATAAACCAGAACTTAAATAAATGCATGTAATTCTTCCTATGCAATTTTCCCCTCTTGCAACTGAGATTAATATTTTCTTGCTCTTGAAGCACCCGGATATATTTATACTTATAATTTTTGTTGTTGAACTTACTCCTTGTACCTTTTGATGAGTGAAGTATCAACATCAGATAAACGTTTCAACTACAGGCATTTGTTTCTACCTAGATCTTCTGATAACAGAACAGGGCCACAGGTGCTATTTTTTTAAATTAACATTTAAAGCATACATTTAGAAAATATAATAGAAGGTTATTTAAGCAACTTAAAATAAAGCTAGAAAATATAACAAAGTTTAAAATAGATCCAGAATAATTTCTCTATGACAGCATCACTTGGTCTCTGACTTTTGAGATGCAAGAGACAACTCTAATTTAGAGGCTACCAAGAGTTAATCTAAAGAAATATTCAGAATTTTGTTGATGCAGTCAGGCACTATTGTAAGCCTCCCTAAAGGCAGCTAGAGATCTCAACTATGAAACAAGCATTTTTGAAAGTTAGTACTATTGAATGCTGGCACAATGCACCCTTGGTTCTGCTGATTTTATCTAAGTCTTGAAATACACAAAAGTTTTTCTTTTATACATTATTAATTTGCTCTCTTCCAAATTATAAGGAGTCCATGAATATTAATGAAATACACAAAAATTATAAAAATAGTGTAGTTTTGTTTTATCTGTAAAATTCACGGCACCATGATAAACATTATATAAATGTCCCAGCATGGTGTAACGGTAGTTACACTAACTGGGTCTTAGGTAACACATAAAAATTGTGAAAACAATAATATTAGAATAGTATGGCCCTTTTCATTTTTATAATGTTTAAAATAACATTATTTCAACAACTTCCCATTGTGGTAGGTAGGGAGATTATGTCATAAATAAAGGACAAAAACTCAGAAATAAATCTTAGTAGGACGATTGGTTCTGCTAATAAAAATGAATTATGATGTAAAACCTCTTTTGTCTTTGCACAAAAATGGAAAGTCATAACACATGAAATTATCTGAGATTTTCCTTCTCTTTCCTGGCTTTTTGTTCAAGATAAAATTTAAAGCATTTTTGATAGAACAAAGTCAAGTACCTCAAATTGTATGATGGTGTTCTCATTCACATCCAGGTCACGAGTGGTAATAGAATGCTCACCAACTTCATTTGAAACAAATACCATAGCTGAATCTTCCTCGCTGTTAGGGAAGAAAACAACAAGAAATCCATTTGGGCAAAAGTTCATTGTCACTTGTAGAGAGCGATGGTTTTATTTTAACATCTCAGTTAAAGACTTACGGGGCTCCTTTTGAAGAATATGGACAATACAGGCCAATATTACCACCAGGATAGAAAAACCAATTGTCTTCTCTGGGTCCAAAGTCAAATGTATCCAGAAGCATCACAGGGTTGTTTAGATTATTCCCATCAATAATGAAGTCATCAACAATCCAGATTTCTTCTTTCTTACCTAAGGCATTTTTGGATAAAAAAAAAGTTTTTCCAATGGTGGAAATTGGAGGGACATTTTTGCTCGTTGGAAGAAAGTGAAGGACAGAAAGGAATCAGTAACAACAGGTTAAATATATGCCTTTGAGACAGAGAAACACAAACTATGCAACAGTGTATTTAAAGTATGAAAGAATCAAGCTGTCAATCATATTAAGTTGAGAGCAGGGAACAGCCTCACTGATTTCAGAAGGCTGAGACGGTCTGTGAAATTGTGCTCCCCTCCCAGTTCCAGTGGGTGCTACAGACCCTCTGCTGCCAAGAATGGGATTTGAATTATGTTTTCATGGTTTAGGAGAACCTGTAAGATACCTGAATCTGTGAGCACAGGTGGTCAAGCCTGCGGATTTAAAACTGAGGTATACTAGTTGATTCAAGGAGCAACTCATGACCTTTTAGAGTCAGCTCATGACGTAGCATCATGCTACGGTCAGGCCAAAGGACTGTGGTCATGGAAACCCTGGCCTGATGCATAATTTTATTTAATTGTTAAAACTACACAGAAGAAGATATTCTGTGTTATGTACACTTTTTAATGTTTTTCAAAACTTTTATGTTTATTTGAAGATATGTGGAACTATCCAGAAAACTAGTAAAATCACTCCGTAGGCTGTCAGAGAATTTGATTCAGCAACACAGGCTGGGTGTTGAAGGAAGATACCTACAGAGTAGGGAGGAGGGCAAACCCAGGCTGTCTTTGCAAAGCGCTGTTTGGACTCAAGGAAACAAGGAAATAAGACCATGCCAAAGCAGAAACATCAAGATTCCCCAAGGTTGCTTCTTCGCTGATTTCTACTTTGACTACAATTCTTACCAAGATATATATATTATATATAAATATATATATAATTTGTAAACAGGAGCTTGTAGAAATAACCTGATGATTTAAATGAAGTCACGTGTGTCTCTCTCTCTCTCTAATCCTATCACTGTTCTTTCTTTTTTGGTACATTCTTTTTTTGTTTTCAAAGACTTTATTCATTTGAGAGAGAGAGAGAGAGAGAGAGCACAAGCAAGGGGAGAGAGGCAGAGGGAGAGGGAGAAACAGACTCCCCGCTGAGCTGGGAGCCCGACGTGGGGCTCAATCCCAGGACCTGGAGATCACGACCTGAGCTGAAGGCAGACGCTTAACCATCTGAGCCACCCAGGTGCCCCAGCTATCACTGTACTAATTCTAGTAGCTTTCTTCTCTTTTCTTGCTTTGGAAGCAGTTGGTGAAAACAATAAAGTAAAAGGTAAGTAAAATTCCAATCATAACATGAAGACAATGATCCTCTGGATTGTGAAACTTGGTTGCATTTATTTATTTATTCATTTTTACTTTTATTTGGTGATTATAAAAGATTATTTTTTCTGTTCGTAATAAGTTAAAAATTATTTCTGGCTTACTAGTATAAAATAAATACTCAGGTTAAATTTTAGAGATAGCGGTACATTTTTCTTATTCATTTCTGTGTTACCTCTGCAAAGAATATGCTTAATGGGATATCTCCATGCTTACTCAGGCCATTAAATGCATGATTTGGTAGAGTCTGGTCCTTTATAATCAGCAGTTAATAGAAATATTGGAAGCAATAAAACATTACGAATTTGTAGAATCATTTTCTGTAGCCATCTGAAAATGCTGTTAAATTATACATTCACTTTAACTTACCACTGAAGCGGGGGTATGTGATAAGAATATTTTATCTAAGGTACTTTCTGCTTGGTGTAAGTCCCTGTCACTTTGTCATGGTATTTTGCTGCAATGTTGTTCTGTCTCACTAATGAAATGCCACACTCAGAAGAACTATTTATTCCCAAATGAATTCAGCAGGAATGTAGTTACAATTGAGGAGTGACTAACGATAATGCTACATTTTTTAAAAAAGATTTTATTTATTTATTTGAGAGAGTGAACCCACGAGCAGGGGGGGAGGAGCAGAAGAAGCAGAATCCCCGCTGAGCAGGGAGCCTGAAGCAGGGCTCAATCCCAGGACCCCAAGATCATGACCTGCGCTAAAGGCAGATGCTTAACCAACTGAGCCACCCAGGCGGCCCAATGCTCAATTATTTTTTAAAAACCTTAGCTCTGTAAGGGGCTTTAGCTATATTTACATCATCAAGAGAACTTATAAGTCAAATACAAAGAGACAATAAAGATACATAAAGTTAAATATTCATTGAGACTCCTCTAGGTAAAATGTGTGTTATGGACAATGAAAACTACTCAGTTGACAAACACTTCCTCCACATCTTAGAAACAAACATGGTAAAATGCCATCGTCAGTTTTGATCATAGGCGAACATGTGCATTCTTACCATTATTATAAGGTTGCCAGAGTCTGAACCTTGTAGCATTGGTCTGGGCAGTATATGGCAAGGGAACATTAATGAAAAGTATGTTGGTTGTCTGAGGGAAGTAAAATTCGTCCATCAGGTGCCAAGTGATTCCCCCATTGATAGAGAATTGTAATAGAATAGAGTGAGACCTCTCCGGGGTACCTAGAGAGAAGACACCACAGGCATAAAACATACTGTGATAAAAGTAGGGAGATGGTAGGTTCTAACACTATTTTTTTGGCATCGATGCATAAACTGACTTATATTCCCCAGGAGGCTTTAGTCCAAGTGCTTCGGAGGCAGCTTCAAGCAATGTCAGGTGGAGCTTCCCGGATGACTGTATCTCAAAACGCATACCAGATCTCAGATTTTCACACAACAGTATCTCCCTCTCTTTCTCAGATATGAACACAGATCTTTCTGTATTTCATTTAGGAATTATATCAGAGAATTTTGCTTCCACGGGCACCACAATTTTACAAATGGTCAAACACTTAAATCTCAGGATACAAACAAAAATCTACTTGAAAGCTTATTATATCCAAAGGGCGTTATTTGTTGAGGAAATGACTTAGTTAATATGAAAGGTCATAATGGCAAAGAGTTGTCTTTTGGGGGTTCACACCTATAAAAGAAAATTCAAAATGTCCACAAGCTAAATTTTTAAAATTTAAAATTCTTATACCTAGGAAGTCGTGGTGGAAAAAAGACTCAGGGACAGAATGATAAATCTAGCTACCATAGAATTAGTATGATTACTACAGCTATATGAAATTTTTGCAAAATCAGTAGTTATCTTACCCTTATATTAAGATGAATTTACATTATAGAAGCACATCTATGAACATTTATTTACTTATATTTATGTCAGCTCTTCCATGTAACAGAACTTATGGGCCTCAAATCTATCATTTCTTTGTGGGGAAGGAATTGTGTAAGGCAAGGGGGAGTTCTCTTGAAGAGAAATAATGAATTCTACCCATAGAAACGACTTACCTTTTGCTATAAATCTAAGTGAAAACTGGACATACATAGTATTGGTACAGTCTAGATCTCTTGAAATAAGCATCCTCAGTCCTTCCTGAAAACACAAACATATACGTTAAACAACCTTATTTCATCTGCAGAATTATTTTCGTTTTACTTTTATACACCTAACTTGCATTAGCTAAGTAATAGATACATACATGTAAGGATCCAGAAGCAATGGTGGGTGCAGTTGAAAAGGAAAAATGGATCATTGCCCCTTTCTTAAGGCTTTCATTTCTTATGACTGCGTAACCCAGTTTCACTGTCTCAACTCGACATCCCACTTTGCAGTGACTTTTATAAAAAGCAGTGCAAAAATGACAGCATTACCTATCTGCAGGCTTTTTTAAAAAGTAGCCTCCTTTGACCACAGCACCCCATGAGAGGAGTAATGAGGAAACAGATGGAAAGTCTCTGCCAAGTGCTCCTGCTGGAAGTTGGGAACTAAGAGGTAACTTTTTCAGTGTTCCAGGGAGTCGTAGGGACTTACTACTCCTTTGTGCACTCTGACCACGCTGGGAGGCTCTCATCCAGGCTGACACAACACCCTCCCGCTGGAGGTTAAATAAGGCATAATAAGCAAGTCCCCATGCCTCGGCTATAACTGCTCATGCAGAGAAGCCAAAGAAGGAAGAAAGCGATCACATTAGCTTTGGTAATTTCTTCTGCTAATTAACTATTTCTGGTTGCCTGGGACTGACAGCCCCATAGCTTGTTTTCTCTGTGTGTACACAGGACTGCAGTGATAGCTAGTAAAATAGAATTTCACTATGCAAATGTCCTAAGGTACAAATAAGCCTTTTAGCATCTTAGCTGTGACTTATGAATGAAGTGACTCTTTGGTGGTATAGGACTGTGTGATACTGAGTGGACACTTCCTTCCTTCCTTCCTCCCTCCCTCCTTCCCACCCTTCCTCCCTTCCTTTCCAGATTTATTTATTTATTTGAGAGAGAGAGAGAATGAGCAGGAGGGGCAGAGGGAGAGAGAATGTGAAGCAGGCTCCTTGCTGAGCAGGGAGTCTGAGGCAGGGCTCAATCCCAGGACCCTGAGATCATGACCTGAGCCGAAACCAAGAGTCTGACGCTTAACCAACTGCGCCATCCAGGCACCCCTGGATTTCTTAATTGTCAACTAATAAACACCAAATGTAATTTTAGCTAGAGAAAGCAAATTCGCCCTCTTTCTCTTATTACCCAGCACAAAATCCTCAATAACTGAAAAACTTTAAATAGAACTAATTTTCTAATAGCAACCGTATTATTGAATTATTCAATGCCTGTAATATGCCAGGTTCTAAAACAGACACCTTTTTCCTTTAACACACATCGCACTCGTAAGGGCAAGATATTATTATCTTTATGATACAGAGAAGTAGACTGAAACTCAGAGACAGTAACTTGTTCAAGATTGCAGAGCTTAAAAGTGTTGATGGCACAATTTGAGCCCAGATTTGTCAGACTGTGTAACTTATCTTCCAGCCTTTATTGGATACTAGTGTTTCGTTTATTAAATCACCTTTTGCTTTTGGGAGAAGAAATCCAGACAGTGCTAAATTTAGAGTTTGAGAATTATTTAATACTGTCATGAAAAAGCAGCGGCATGTATACCTGTCCCTGAACTTCACAAAGCATCAATTCAAACTTCCAGGATTGAAGGTTGCCCTGTAAAAGCCTTATATTTCCAGTCTTTGTTGTTTTTTATTTTTACCCTAATAACTCACTGCCCTGCTCAGTCCGTGACACCTGGTCAATGCCTGTTCTTCATGTTTCACTGTTGAGAGACACTCTCTCCCGTGTACCCTGACAAGCACAAAGCCTTGAATGGTTTTACATCTTGGTGCCACGTGGAGGTTGAGGTGATGAGGAAAGGTGGCTTCTTCAACTTGCAAGGAATAAGCTTTGAGGTGGGTAGCTGAAAGATCCAGCTAATAAAGATCGCTTGCTAACATCAAGTTAAAGGATTATGATGACTCTTCCCCCTTGATTATGGAACTTAAGTATAAAATTGTTCCCATGGGCAAATACATATCAGCCATCAAAGGACCATTGCACACTACATCTTGTAGGAACAGTTATGTTGAAAGTGGGCACAATGTATATGAAAGTATCTTTCATGTTTGTAGTATTTGCTTGTAGCTCAGCACTTGATATTAATTACATGGTGGAAATGTCAAGCCCTGCTTCTGCGCATATTCTAGTTCACACGGATAGGTTTCTTTTCCCATCTCTTTTCCAGGTTCATTAATCCATTTGTACTAAATGTGGGAGTTCTTTGGCATATAAGAGCTATTTTAATAGCTGATAGTACTCCTGAATCTATAAACATTCAAAAGAGACAATCATTTCCTTTTTAACGAAAGAATGCCTTTCTAGGTCAAACTGCACCCTACTGAATGGCCCACTCTACATCTTGCAGAGCTGACAGGCAATACGTCTAATACATATAATGCTTGGTTGCTCTTGCATTTGGATGGCTAAAGGGAAAACAGAAAACACTCTGTGTCTTCCTTCTTCTTAGGCTCTAGGGACCAGGTTAATCCCACTGCTTAAAAATTTATCAGGTAAAGATATTTAAATCATGAAAAGTCACAGGGCTCCTGCTTTTTGGTCTTGTCAATGCTACAAGCAGATCGGAAGTGAGCTAGTGGTAATCAGAGCTAATGCCTCCGACAAGACTGAAAAAACACACACGCAAAAACCAGCAGCTTCCATCCTGAAATGTGGATGGAAAGGACTTGTAAATCTCTCCGACCCCCTAAGTGTTTTTTCTCTCTCTATAGATGTATTCACATAGAAAGATGTGCCAGCCAGTACAGTGTTTCACACAATTGCTTAACATCCCTCTCACCAGACACCTAGGCTGAAATACAAAAACAGACTAACAATGTTTGAGAATGTTTTTTCACTTGATTCAAATGTTTGGCTTTCTTAAAGTCACGAAAGGGCTCTATTGGCAGGAAGGAAAGGGAAAAAAAAGAAAGGAAAAAGCAAAGACCTTTTATAAAATCATTTTTTTCAGTTCTGCAAGTTATATATTCAATAACACATAAAACGCTACATTCTAGAATTCAAGATTCTAGAAATTGCATATGCATAATTTGTGTGTGTGTATACATATATGCATACACACACACACACACACACACATATATATAATTGCAGCAGAAAGTAATGAAGGTCTGATCACCAAAGCAGAGGAAAGATTTTATGCCTAAGTGATGCTAAAGAATGATTATGCTGAACAGAGGAGAAAACACGGTCTGGGCTAGAAGACAACAGCCTTGTATAAAATAATGCACCATCTGAGCAGGTTCAGAAACGCATTTGTGTGGAGCAGTGAGGGAAGGAAGGAATCTCAGTAGCAGAGTAGAGAAGTAGAATCTTATCTGACCCCTTTAAAAATAAGTGACGTTCCAGATTTGATGGTTTCACCATTCAGATTGCCCCTCTCGGCACCATACACTTCAGGCCAGAGATCGGGATGTAGGTTCCCGTTGAAATCATCCTTAAGAATCGAGGGCAGAGGAACGATGGGCACACAGGAGGCACCACCAAAGCCCCGGTCACACCTAAGAGAAAAAAAGGAGTGGAGGAGAGGCATCATCCGTCGTGAGTTCGAAAGCCGTTTTTGTTTTTGCATTGTGAAAAAGAAACTGCCAGCGTCATTGACTTACACACAGTGTCCGGCATCGCAAATCCCTCGTCCCGAGCACAGCCAGGGGCACCCGGATGCCAGCACGACATTATCAATAGCCCACGTGTCAGCCCCCACAGTGTAGCTGGACTGAATCCATCGGAACCGGGTCCTGGGAGATCTAACCAAAGATAACACACTTGGTTCGACACGCACCCTTGAAAGCAGGAGAGCATTTCTTTTAACTCCCCTTTCGCTCTGAAGAGCCCTCCTCCAAGTTCTAGTTCCCTCTTGGAGACACTTAGTTCTCACACCAAGTGTTGGATGCTCTTTCCTGCTGAACCCACCAACGAGAGGAGAAAACATGGTTTGTAAATATCTCACCCTTCCTTTCATACAAGTGTCTCCTAACTCACCTGGGGTGGGAAAGTTATCTCAGACTAGCGATTTGTTATGTGTTTGAACTACGCGCTGAATCTGGGGTTTTGCTTTCAGGCTTTTCCTGCCATTCAGAACAAGGAAAGAGGCGGAATGGATGAGAAACATGAGGAGAAGCTGGAATCTCACGAAGTTCTGGGCATGAGGTCCCTGCGCTACTGTCCCTAAATGGTTTCTGAGACTGGAAACGGAAACCCCAGGGAAGTTCTGCCTCCGTGTTGGTGCCTGAGGCCTGGCTCCTGAGAGGTGAGGGCCCGAACGATATGATGCACGCCCGCGTTTTCCATTCTATTTGCAATCTGCTATTTGGAATTCACTGTCAGAAGATCACCTTATCCAGAAATACATGCAGCCTGGGCCAAACCGCAGTAGCAGCCCCTCGCTTAGGAACGGGCTGCACAGCAGAAGTCGGTGAGTCACTTATTTGGAATGTGGAATCTTGAAGTAGAATTTCAATAGTGACATTTCAAGTGCCATTGTTTCCCGACACAAATTCTCCCTCAGCGCAACATGGCTGCTGGTGTGGTGGCTTTACCTCCCCTTAACACCCTGCCGGTGATTCCCCAACGAAGGGAAGGTCCACGCCAAGCGGCAGCATGCCTTCCCACAAGCCCTCTTCACCCCACAGGCTCTGCTCCTTCACTCAGTTCAGAGATGGGCCCCTCCAGGAAGCTCCCTCAGTTAGGTAGTACCCCTCCCCCTGAGTTTCAATAACATCCCTGAGTATTATCAATGTCACCATTTTATGTCATAAATAACTGCTGAGATGTCCACTATCCTAAATAGATCTTTGGATCCTGGCGTCAGCTTATTCATTTTGCGTTAGAGTTCTAAAACACAGTAGATATTCAATAAACATTTGTTGAATAACAATAAAGCGAATAAACGAGCTCCCAGTAAACACTCTTTAAAGCTCTGGGGGTCCACAGGAAACCATTTTAGGTTAAATGCTAAAATGCTTTGGTTTCCTGCATTTTTTCTTCTGCCATTTGGTTGTACACCTCTCAGTCAGAATTGAATCAGCAAAATGGAAACCACTGTGAGTATTTAATCTAGACAGCGTTAACACAAGGACCTGGAGGTACGGTCAGTGCCAGAGCTGAGAAGCCAACAGCGGCGGTGAGGAGACCAGAGCTGGGCGAAAGCTGGGAAGCCGCTACAAGTCCGAAGCTGGAGGGACACAGGGAGGAGACAGTGTTGGGGGTGCCCAGGGGCCAGGGTCCCACGGGGAGCCATCTCTGGGGAGCGGGAGCCACTGAAGTTGGCCAAGATGCACTTGAGACAGAAAGGGAAAGGGATGGACACCCTGTTTTATCTCCGTTTCCACTCTGCCTATCTTGCCAGGTTGTGCCACTAAATCTACCAGGAAGCCAGCAGATGCAGGAGCCTGGTAAACGTAGCCTGCAGAAGCCAACTTGCCTATAATTCAGAACAGCGTAGCGGCAGGGTGAGGCAGGGACCGGAGGGGAGCAGTCCCAGGACGGCACGATCTCTGACCAGCCGCCCCAGGACACACCAGCTCCTAGAAAGATCCCCAAATTATCCTAATGCCTAAACCACAAACGAGGGAGCCTGCTGTAAGCCCTAATACAACTCTTGAATGTGATCTGAAATCCCAGGGAGGGGAAGAAAGATGTAAAAACAGTATGAGCGTTCCAAAGGAACCAACTTTTTACTCTCACTGTGGTACTGAGAATAAAGAAAAAAAAAGAAACTAAGGCTACTATTCTTCCACATGTGATGATTTCACATACTGCTCCATGTGAACAAATATCACTCTGGTTACTGGGTATTTTTACAACAGAACAAGATTATTTTTACAACTGAGTCTGGTGGGCAGCCTTCCGGTTGCCAAAGAACAGAAAAGTTCAGACCCGTAAAACTTTTGGAACTCACCGACATATTAAAAAATTGGCAACCCCAAGCATCTGGTACTTCCCCGCACCCCCCCGCCCTGGCAGACTCCCTGCATAATTATCGTGAGTCAGAATTGCTAAGTGGAATCACAATTATTTTCAAATGACGTGATAGGAACCTAACATTCTGACATGAAGTCACACAATAGTTCTCACATGGTGGAGAGTGGAAGGTAGACGGTGATCCGCTTCCAATTCTGGAATCGTTCTGAGGTGTACACAGAACTTTCTGCGTAGTGCAGGCAGCCAATGGTGGGAGGCACACACTCCTCGGTGACCAGATGCCAGTCCCTGCCGTTGTTTAGAGAATACTGGAGCTGGACGCTGTGGGCGTCACTGAAGGGCTTGCTGCAGCCCATGCTCATTTCAAACTGCAAGAACGTTGATGCCGACACGTGAAAGTCCCAGGTCTCGGCATAACGCGGTTTTCCTACAAAAAAAGGGAGAAGTTGAACGGTAGTATACAATGGTCCTCTCTTTGCTTATTTGGCATTTGTGCTTGTAATAAACATGCTCAGGAGCAAACAAGGATCCTGTCTTAACTGAAGTGACTTTTCATCCCACAATAACTGCTTTTATTTGGCTAGCAGGGGCTTGGACCCATGGAAGGCTGCTAATTTGAAAAGCGTGACCATCTTGGAGAGTCTTCTATCTGCAATTCTGCAAATCATGAGACACGGAAATGTCTTCCAAGAGAGATTTTGCTGCTCTTTTAGGAAACCTTAGTTAGATCACGCACGAAGGATGGTTCTAAGACAAGCTGGACGCACCAAGTTATTTTAGAAGTCAACCCAACTCCTTTCTTTCCAGAGTCTCCCTCAGCCCAGGCAGTTATGTACACAGTTTTGCATTAGAGAGTCTCCTCTTGGGTTTTAGTTAACTTAGTCCTCTAGTTAATTAAATATTCTCCCTTTATCTGGTGAAAATATATACCTATGTTTTCAGTGAATATCAGAGCAGTATCCATAGAGAGACAGTCAATACCGACTTGACCTCCTTGTATTCGGTACCAGCTGGCTTGCAAATCTATGGAGCCATCAAATTTGTCTTGAAACCCAGTTTGAGAGCTGTCATTCATTCCTATAAGGACATCGTCCAAGGCCCACTGGGCTGAATGTTTCCCTGAAATCCGATGAATAAAGGCAGTTAGAGAAAGTTCGTTATATAGCTATATGAATATCTTTATGACTATGCTTTTAAATCAAATTGTCTAGGAAACTGACAGCAAATTAAGAAGCATATGGTACAATGCGGCTTTAACCATATGTTCTCAAGGCCACCGGGAAAGGTGGAGTGAGCAGTAACTTGCCATGTTGGGGTTGCCACCATCGAAAAGCTGTGGCGGGGGTCTTCGCCTCCCGTGGCAGGTCAATGGAAATGATCTGTGGCTCCAGAAATGACATGAAGTCCAACTCTCGAAGCAAATGCCAGAGTATCCCGTTGTCATTTGAATACTGAACAACAAGCCCTGAGTTAAAAGACATAAATCCAGTTACTTGGACAGCTTTCCTAGAGGCAAAAAAGGGCAAAGAACAGTATTTTTTAAATGGCAAGACTGCAGCAGAAACTTCAAATTGCATCTCATAGAACGAGGGCACATTCATCTAACTTCCTAGGAATGAATTAGTAGACCTGAAGGCTCATCAATTCCTTGACAGTTTCTAGTGCACCAACTCCCAGGAAATGGAAGACGAAGAAGAAAAAAACAAAAACAAAAACATAAGCTCTTTTAAAGACTATTCAGCTTTGTATGAATGATGAGTGGGCTGGTAAGGGGGATGTAAAAATCCACTGCAGATCATGTATTTGAATTTTAGATTCTGTCCTGAACATTACCAAGTCTCATCTCATTATTATACACTCAGAAGAAATATCTCAACTTCCCACCACAAAATCAAGTAGGGCTCTTTTCTGCCGAAGCACCAGACAGTAAACAGGGCCCAATCTGAAAATTCTATTACGCAGAAAGATCCTTTCACTGGCCCTTCATACTTTGTCAGGCTTTGGTAACTGAAGCTGGAATGAGGTCAAATTACTAAATAGCAAAGCAGAAAATTCACTCCCATTCAATATTAGTTCTACTCTCCTTTTTGTGTCAACCTTTCCCTTTATACCCACCCCATCTACCCAATATCCCTCCTCCACCTGTTACCACAGTGACATGATTTAGTGACCTGCACATTCAAGTTACAGGACCATATGCACTGGCCCTGCTACCTCTCCTGGAAATTTTTTTATTATAAATTTTTTTTTAAGTAGGTTCCACACCCAGGGTGGAGCACAACATGGGGCTTGAACACCCGACCCTGAGATCGAGACTTGAGCTGAGATCAAGAGTTGGACACTTAACTGACTGAGCTACCCAGGCGCCCTGAAACTTTTTTATTTTAAAAGAGGACAGGGAAGGGGTAAGGTTGAATGCAAAAAAAAAAAAAAAAAAAGCCAATGATGGGCATCAACAGGATATCTATCTATCAATCTATCTATCGATCTATCTATCCATCCATCTATCTGTTGTTATTGATGGGAGGGGCAGAAGGCTTTCTTGGCATCTATCTAACTGCCTATTCCGTAACTGTTCCTAAGACTGGCACTGCATACTCATAATTGTGACTGGGGATACTGAAGTACTTTTTTTTTTCTTCCAATTTTTAAGATCTTATTTATTTATTTGACAGAGAGACACAGCGAGAGAGGGAACACAAGCAGGGGGAGTGGGAGAGGGAGAAGCAGGCTCCCCGCAGAGCAGGGAGCCCGATGCGGGACTCGATCCCAGGACCCTGGGATCATGACCTGAGCCGAAGGCAGACGCTTAACCGGCTGAGCCACCCAGGCGCCCCCTGAAGTACTTCTTAGTATTCACAGAAATTATGTTCAGGAAAGTTGGATTTGTTATACTAATTTTGTTATATCTTAACTTTTTTGAAAAACTTTAAATCATTCATGAAACATATGGTAACTTTTTAATTTCCTCATTACTGACTGATGGGAAGATCTCAATACTTTTATCATGCTGGGCAACAAAGAGTTTACTAAAATTAAGTTTTAGGAACTATTAGGATAAAATATAGAACCCAGAGACAGCCTTTTAAGGCTAATTGTTAGCACATGGAGTTACTGCCACCACATCTGACAAGGGAGGATGCGAGGAACAACAATGACTAATACGCAAAAAATTAGAACTCTTAGAAGAATTAATCTTACCGTATTTAAAATAGAAGAAACCATCATTTATGAGAGGATAAAAATAGCTCAAAGAACAGGAATTCTCTGGAGAGAGAGCATGATGGATATAAGTGTAGAGATTGGCAGTTAAAGCTTCAGTGGGTGGCTGGCTATAGACCCATGTGTTGGAGGAAGAAAGTCACAGTAAAGTTCATGAAGAAAATGGAAGGTAGTCTGTTTCTAGTCTTTATTCTAGTTAAGTTGAGGAACTTCTGGCAAAACCCCAGTCTCCAACCTTTGACGTTTGCTCAAAATATGTCCTATTGGCTTTTAATGTGAATTTGGGTGGCTGAGAGAACAGACACTTCAAAATTTAGTTTTTCTTGTGGCTATTAATTTGCGTTGATATGGTTTATATTTAATAAGATATGAGAGAGAGAGAGAGAGAATAATTTAGATAGTTATCTATCTGGGGGGGGGACCTATTCAGAAGGTAGGTTACAGTACCAGAAAGGAAGCATCATGAGAATAAAATCTCACTGGCTAGTCCTTTCTAGTACCTTCTACTCAAAGTATGGTCCAAGGACCAGCACCTGCATCACCTGGGAACAGGTCCTACCTGTGGTGGTTTTAAAACATGTCCACAAATTCTTTGGCATTCTTCCCTTCAAAAAGTAGAGTTTAATCCCCCCCCTTTGTTTTTTTTTTTTTTGAGTGCCGCTGGACTTAGTAACTTGCATGCAACATATAGAATATGGTAGGAATGACAGTGTGTGACTTTCGAGACTAGGCCACAAAAGGCTCTGCACTTTCTCCCTTGTGCTCTCTCATGGATCTCTTGCTCTGAGGAGAGCCGGCTGACAGGTAGTAGGGACGATGTTCAAGCAGCCTATAGACAGGTCCACCCAGCGAGAAACTGAGGCCTCTTGGAAATAGATCCACCAGCCCTGCTTGGGTCTTTAGATGAGTGCCCCTCTCCTGGCTTTTGTCTTGTCTGCAACCTTATGTAAGATCCTGAGCCAGAACCACCCAGCTAAGCTGCTCCTGAATTCCTGACTCACAGAAACTAGAAGATAACTGATGTTTGTGGTGCTAAACAGCTCAGTTTCGGAGTAATTTGTTATGCACCATACCGTCACAGTCCTGCTGAATCAGAATCTGCCTTTTAAGCTTCCTAGAGGATTCAGATGCACATGAGAAGAACCACTCAAGTGGTCCATATTCCATTTGGTTTCTGCTTGCAGCCCTTCTCCTCATTAGCTTTTTTAGGAGTGACACAACCAGGTCTGCAGAGATTAGGACCCAATCCCGAAGGACAATAACAGAGGGCCTTCCAGAAGTATGAAACAATGGAGGAATGCAAGAAAGGGAAACAGCAGTATCTCTATTTTATATAAATTGCTGAGCCCCATTAGCTGTGTCATCTGACACACTGCACATCTGAAAAAACCAAAGCCATTTTAGCTCATCTCCCGAGTGTTTTGGGCATCACATTTCTCTTTTTAAATTACAACCCCATCTGTGTTCTGCCCACTTTTATTGAAAATAGCCTAATTTTGATTTTAATTCCAAATATGTAAATTAATGCTTCAGCTTGAGTAAGTAAAAAAATCTGTACTTTCATCAACTGGAAGAGATTGGTTCAAGGATTTAGGCAGATTTACATTTTAACAACCAGTTTTCAATAAAAGACTGAGAAATGCCTGTGGGATGTGAATTACATGGCTAGCAAGGAGTTCAAGAAAATGGCTCAAGAGTAGTTGAGAGAAAGTTGCTTGTTCCTAAATGGGTCCTCAGGGAATTTGCCTGGCAGGGCAGGCAACAGCATTTGTAGTCAGAGGTTAAGTGTCGAGCAGAACTTCATCTCTATGACAGGTGGATGCTTCCCAGTCTACTCTGGTCAGTTTTTTTTAAAGCTCATATCCACAGATCTGTAATTTTCAGAAGAGTCACTTACACAATTGCTACACTGTTCCAACCACCAAGTATTTTATAGTAATTTTATTACAACGGTTAAAAGAAATGTTAAAATGCTCTACCTCTCCAACCAGAAAAGATCTTCAGGACAGGACCCTGTCTTCTCCTGTACACCTCTGCATGGGCAAACACGTGTTCTATAAATACTTATGTGTTTTGAACTACTTATTCTTTCTGTAGGACGATCTTGTAAAAATTTAAGTCAGATTATGTTGCTGCCTGGGCTCAAAGCCTTCAGTTAGTGCCCATGACCCATGGACTCAGACCCCACTTCCCTACCGTGGCTAGCAAGGCCCTGTATTCCTGGGCTCCTGCCCCTCAGTCTCGATGAGTCCCAAGCCACACTAGCCTTCCTTCAGTTCTCCAACATCACAGTTCTTTGCCACTTTGTGGCCTCTGCTGCTTCTGACTGGAAAACTCTCCCTGAGCTCATCATGTTGCTGGCTCCTCTCCATCGTTTAGGTTTCTTTTTTTTTTTTTTAAGATTTTATTTATTTATTTGACAGAGAGAAAACACATACAGGGGGAGGGGCAGAGGGAGAAGGAGAAGCAGACTCCCTGCAGAGCAGGGAGCCCGATGCGGGGCTCGATCCCAGGACTCTGGGATCATGACCTGAGCCGAAGACAGACACTCAATGACCGAGCCACCCAGGTGCCCCAATCCTTTAGATTTCAATTTAAACGTTACTTCCTCAGTGAGCGCCCCTCTCAGACCACTTTACCTAAATCAAATCTCTCAGTCAACAGATGTCCACCTCACCAGCTTCTTTATTTCCTCCTAGCTGTCAATCTGACATCTTGCTTATTTGTGTGTTTTCCTCTCACTAGGAGGGAAGTACCCTTCGGGGCAGGGATTTTGTCTGCTGTGGTAGGAGGGCCACTCTGATTCTTCTTCCCCTTCCGGACCGTGGTGGTTTGGACTTCTCATCTCCTTCGCCACACTCTCTCTTTCCCTCTGCCACATGGCGGGCAACATCCAGAATCTACCCAGCAGCTGCTTCACTCTCCTGGGTGTTGGAAGCAGGACCTCGGATGAGCCTCGATGAAAATGTAGCACAAAGGAGAAGCTTCTTCTGGTTTAACCCACTGAGATTTAGAGGGCTGTTTGTGACAGCAGCATAACCTAGCTCAACATGACTGATGAATCAGACGTTTGGGGATACGGTATCTACAGCCTAGAACATGTGTGGCTTACAGCAGACTCTTGAATAGACATTTGTTGAAGACATTAGGGAACGCAAAATGGTCTGTACAAGTTTCTAGACCACTGCTTCAGTAAATTGACGATCTGGATGATTACTAGACTAAGAGTACTGAGATACTCAGAAAAAGTCCCGAAAGCTTTCAGTCAGTGACAATATGGCTGAGGACATACAGGATCGGTCATTAGAACTATCAGTAGCTCTACTGACTACCAGGCAGGGTTTAAGCCAACATGTCATACAGTCATGCCTGAGATAATAACAAACTCAGAAGCTACACAACTCGTCACGTGCCATTCATGAGATCAAGGTTTGGAGGAGGACCCATCTGAGAAGCCCATGGGTTTTGTGCTAGGAAAACTCCCATTCAGGGTTCCTTAGGGCATCCCCTACCTGCAGAGCTCCCAGAGGCCACTTATATATGCTATAAGCCTTCTGCATTTCTTTCAGAACTGAATCACTGAGGCAGAAGATGGTATGGAAGCCTAGAGAAAGCAGAGCTCTGGGCAAAGAGAGAAGCAGGATATGGGTGGTTAAGGCATCCATTCTGGAACAAGCATCAGTGGCTCGAATCCCTGCTCATCTACTTACTGACTGCATGATCTGGGGTAAGTTACTTGACCTACCTGTGCCTCGGTTTCTACATCTGTGAAATAGGACTAATAATACCTATGACAAAGAAGTATGATGAAGATTAAATGAATTAACAGATAGAACACTTGGAACAGTGCCTTGCATATAATAGGTGCTTAGTAAAAGTTAAGGTTTAACATTGCCAAGAACTGTTCCTTCTACCAAAGGATGCTAGTACCCCCAGAACATTTATGGGCAGGAAATAGAGTCTGATCTGCATTCAGTAATGCTCTGCTATTTTTTCCTCCCTCTTGAAAGTTATAAAGGGACAGCATTCCTTAAAATAAATATACTCTGACCATAAACAAATACACTCAGATCAAAACAAATATACTCTGACACGATCCATAAGCTTTCCAGGCTTAAGGATCTAGATGAGGAACCTAAAAGATCATGGCTCTCTGCAGCTAATCATTTAATGATGGAGAAGAGAAGAGAAGAAATGATTCAGGGTAGCATCTCAGTTTGCAAAATCCTGGCAAACTCTGGGAAGGAAAAGGAGTAATTTGCCCACAGTAACTACAATTTCTAAGGAAATACAATAGCTTACCTTCATTTCTTGCTCTTGGTTTGATGCAGGTAATCCCTGAAGTTTTGCTCCCAATTTGTATATAAAACTTAACAAGTCTGGGGGGGGGGGGGACACAAACTTCAGTTTACTTACAAATAGGTAAGTTCAGAAGAAATTTAACCTTTTGCATTTTGACACATTAAAAAAAAAGCTTCTGTAATTCCAAAATATTACTTTTAAACACAAAGGGCATATGAAAAGTAGAAACTATATAGATTATATAGCAAGCTAATTGTGTAACCATTTTATAAATGGTTACTTAATAACCATTAATTTTATACAGTAATAATGACTTAAACAAAAGGAAACAGTTGAACTCTACTTTAATGTGATGTCTGATGTAATTTAGTGTAATCACTGAAATGCTCATTCCTTAAATCGAGATAATACTATTCTTGGAAATTCAGGATGAGGAAATATTTAACATCAAGAAACTGAATGCTACATTAGTTTAGGGCCACATAATTACCTATATTACTGATTTAGACTCAGACAGTTTAATTTTTCACAGCTGACACTCAGTGTGATGTAAATTAGGCCTCAGTCCACAGTAACCAACAGAGGGGCCTATGTGACAGGTGCACCTCTGTGAGAACTCAGAAGGAAGGGGAAAGAGATCGAAGGCAGGAAAAAACGTGACACAGAACCCCAGATTTTAGTGAGGACAAGGTCTAGAAGTTCCAAATAGTTCTTCAGTTTCCTTTCTTCCGATTCTCAAATAATTTTACTGATAATAAGACAAAAAGTAGTTTTATTTTAAGCGTGCTATTTCATTTAAGCAGTTATTTATTTTACCAGTAGGTGTCAGTGTAGGTATTTTAAATTTCTGGAGCAGTTTTTAATAAGCAAATACAAATAAATGTCAATCAATGGAACACATCATTTTCGGACACAGAATTTAAAGTTGAAAAAAAATCTTCATTTCACCTGGCATATATAAACATAATACCAAACACTGTAGTAACACAGAACTTTAGAAAACCAAGCTGACATACCTTAGACACACAGACTTTAGTGATGTCTGTAGGCTGATTAACAAATTGCGGTATGAATTTTGCAGAAACTATTTTATTATGGCCTTAAAGTTATGCTTCATTTTTACATATCAGAATCTATATAGAGAAGCCTTTTTATGTAAATCTTCAATAACAGCACAGAGAGTTTCAGGTTAGACCACAAAGCATGGTAAATACTATGTTCTCAGAGAAGTGTACCAATAAACTCTGTACCTGATATTCCTGGTGTCCAGAGGGACGGTCCTCGCTTCCCTTTTCCCGGGGCCATTGAAGTAGAGAGATTTGCCATCATTCAGCGTTCCACATCCGGTTCCAACCTGGCCCCCGGTTATCTTGTACCACAGAGGGCTGAGCTTCCCCTCAAACCTATCGAACATCTCACTGTGATTAGGGACATTAGATACACAGGTTCCTTGTGCGGCTTCCGAGAAAAGAAATACATAGGGGAGAGAGGCTTTGTTGAAATCATTATACATTAGAAGGCACATTGAGAGCATGGGCTAAGGAAGCATTTCCACAGGGCTTAGGGGCATGAAACCCATGGAAATCGGTATCCCACAATTGTCTGTCAGAAATGCGGCCACTTCCACCATCATCAAAAACATGATTCCACCTCTATCATTTTTTACTCATTTGTAGAGAGACTCTGGGAACCACACATGTCCATGGTTCTTGCTACCAAGAGGATGTGGGCAAACTGAAAAATAGATTTTGTCCACCATAAAATTTGCTCCTTTGTTGTCCTTCTATCAGAGAATCAATAAGGAGAGCTAATCCCAGATTTAAATAAAAAACACCCCTGAAACCATGAATGGCAGGACTCTCCACAGAAGGCCTGCAACGACATATGTTTGTCTTTGGTCACGCTCCAGATGAAGGGCAGAGCACTGAATCTCTGGGAAGCATCCTTTTGAAGTTGCCTCTAGGAAAGACCCTAACAAAGATTTTGAAACTTATAACATTTTCTTCAATTTTATTCTTTAATCTCAGCTCCCTTTTTATTTTTGCTTGTAACAATAGCCAAGTGTAACTGTGGTCAGAAAATATTTCTCTTGTAAAGTTCTCTTTTGGCAGTCTTGGGTTTATCATTTCAGACACTGACTTTTACTTTGCATGTACAAAATTACATTTCTTATAAAAAGCAATGTGAAGAGCCCAAAGAGCCCCTTGCAGCCAAGTGGTCAAGGAAGAGCTTAGGTTTGAGTTTTAGAGACTGACTTGCCAGAGTCTGAAGTGTAGCTTCAGCGACTCCTAGCTGTGTGCCCTTGGGTGAGTTACTAAGTCTCTCTGTGTCTCAGTTTCCTCAAATATGAACAAGACAATAACATTATGTCCTATGGCACAGGGTTTTTGTTAGAATTCGGTGAGATGATATAAAAAGCACTTACTATATAGTGCTTGGCATAGAGTAGAGCCGAAAGCAATGTTAACTACTATCACTATTACTAATAAATAAATCTCCTTTAGGGAGTGAAACTGATGTTACTGTGTTTTGTTTTGTTTTTTTTTTCCTTAGGCAGCTCAAAACTACAAAAGATCTTTTAGCACCTCAAGTGCCTAGGTGGCAAATTCCTACAACTAGGACTTAAAGAAGAATCACCTCAGAATCTATTTCCTTGGAAGAAGTAACATGAAAGACAGTAGCTAGAGATGAGTATTTTGCAAACAAACCATCAGACACGTGTCTGCAGCCTTACCAGTGTACCCCAGGTCACAGAAACACACCCCCGAGACACAGTCCCCGTGGCCACTGCAGTAACTGGGACAAGGCTCAGATATGTACACTCCATCCAGACCAAAGGGAGGCACGTTTTTCTGTGAGCTGCTTTCCTGAATCCATCGGAATCTGGTTTTACTGTTGGGGAAAAACAACACATGTGTTTCTTATCCCAATACTTCGTACAAAAGCCCTGAAACATAGAAGGGTTCAGAAAAATTCAAGAAAGGTTTCATGTTTATTTGAAAGTCATGGCCACTTGACTGGACACTTAACCTTCATAATAAAGTGTCTCTCTAGAGCTTTCTGGAAAGTTGTTTATTTCCTCTTCAGCCTAAATGTTTCAATACCAGGAGGATATCAGATACAGAAGATTTTTGATGGTCAGACACATATTGTAGGTTTTTACTTGTATATTTTCCATCTCATAAGTTTTAAAACTGTATAGACCTTCTTTTAAAAAATTTTTTATTTTATTTACTTATTTGAGAGAGAGAGCAAGTGAAAGAGAGAGAGAGAGACAGCGAGAGCATGAGCATGGGGAGGGGTGGAGGGAGAGAGAGAAACAAACTCCCTGCTAAGCAGGGAGCCCGACGCGGGGCTGGATCCCAGGACCCCAGGATCATGACCTGAGCTGAAGGCAGACGCTTAACTGACTGAGCCACCCAGGCGCCCCCCATCTAATAAGCTTTTAATAATAAAAACCAGAAAGGCATTCCTTTCACGTGATTAATATTTCACCCTTTCATCACACTGATTTTATGGGCATTTTAAGAAGAGGGTAGTTAGGAATTTTTGAGACCATCAGATAGACCGTTTTTTGTTAGGACACATAAGGGGACTCCGGCTATCTGCCACTGACATGATCCTGGCAGGAAAGAGTTAAGTTTATACTGACAGCACTCCTCCCACCTGTTGCCTTCCTCTGCACCTCTCAGCTTCAAATCCCTAAGACTGCGCATTCTATGAGCTCTTAGCAACCAGCTGGGCTGCCAACAAATACTGGTGACTGCCAATGAACAAAAGAAGGACCTGGTCCCAGTGCTTCAAAACCTTGGAATCCCAGTGGGCTGGGCTGCTGCCTGGTGCTTCTTCCCCCACAACAAGTCTTGAGGCTGCCAGACTAACACTGGTTCCAGTTGCTCTCCAGTCTTTGCAATCCTCTCAGCACATCTCTTTCTTCTCAAATATATGGAAACCTGTGCCCCTCTATAATGTCACACCAGGAAAACACCTCTTCCTTCTCAGTTCTACCGACATCAAGGAAGGAAGATGGATTAGGTTATCTGGAGTCCAATTAATTTCGCTGCCGGTATTTATAGACTTTTGAGTGAATCCAGTTTCTTCGTAAACAAGGGTAAAGAATCTTAAAGATTAATGAAGATTGTCAGACATAACTATTGACAAAGTCAGTTCCTTCTCCTCTCCGTTATTGTGCAAATAACATGGCAGTGTCAGAACGCATTTCTTGATAGCTCTTCAAATAGCTTTGATTATTTGGCAACACAGAACCATAAACCTGGATTTATTGTCTTCATTATTTTAAGTTGCCTACTCCTGGCAAATCTGCGAAATGTGACCACAATGCTGTTTACTAGGTTTAAGTGTTCAGAGACTAATCACCCATTAATGCAAGTCTTAGCACACATTCGTCAGTGTGTTAAGAGGAAGGTGAACACATCTTTTATTTCCTTTAAAGCTAATTCAAAATATACTGGTTTTATTTCTTAAGGCAAAAGACAATTGAAATAAGATTAGAAAAACATAAAAGCAAAAAGAAAGAAAGAGAAAAAAAAATACAGTGGTTGTGCCATGCACCTTGGGAAAATTCCTCCCATTGGGGTCGGAAGCTTATTTAGGTTGTGAAGATGTTTTTCCTCTCAAAGGAAGGAAATGGAATTGATGATCAGCAGCTTTTGCCAACTGCCGCTTTTAAGGAAAATGCTAAGGCCTCTGTGCCCCTCCCAAAAGATAGGAGTATCTTTTGATAAAAAAGGAAAACATGCCAATTCTCTGATACAAGTCCTCTTAGATTAGAAGTCATTCTTGTCTCTTCTTTTTGTGTTTCTATAATACAGAGAAACATGGATCTACAACTTCTGCCCCATGGAAAGTAAAGAAACAGATAGGAACAACTTTCCTCTACCCCAAATTCTCCCATATGGGCCAGATGAGGGCATCTCCATCAACTGCCCTACTTCATGAAAGAGGGAGGCTCAGGTTGAGGCCCAGAAGCATTCAGAAGGTTGAAGAATCTCACCTTTAAGTAGAATTCTAGAAGCTTTGGTAATTTGATAGTGGAAGAAGAGGAAATGAAACCCTTTGACCCATCTGTTTCTTGGGGTCACTGTAATTTTCATAACAATGAAAGAATCAGGGTCTGGTCTGGCCAGACAGAGGAGGCACCCCCAAGTCTAAGTCTTCCATAGACCCAAGAAGCAGAGTTCACTGTTAGATATTTGAGAATGTGAAAGATCTCAGGAGCTGAGCACAAAGGAATCCATTTTTAAATAAAGAAACAAAACAAAACAAAACAAAATGACAAATTATTGGTTAATAGGGTGAGTCCAGGACATGATGAATCATAGCTAAGAGTCCTAACTGGGAGCCCATGTTTCAAAGTAAAAGGGCAAGAGATTGTACCTCTTTTCCTTCTTTTAATCTCTGCTAGGTGGTTTTTAGTTGGTAGGTGCAAATCAAAGAAAGAAAGTTTTCACTTTTCATGACATAAGCAAGTTTTGCTTCATTTAAATTTTTCCCAGTTGTGTCTGGTTCCTGATACCTACTGCTGCCCTCTCCTACTCTCCCTTGCACAGTTTTGGAATTGAGCACAAATACTTTAGAAACCTCGGGGTTGCTGGAATAAGAGGAAGAACTAGTAAGAAATTCACTAAAAAACTGTAGTCATGGAGAGACCATCAGAAGAAGTAGGCCAAAGTGAGGTGGGTGCTTTATTTCTTCCCTGCAGAAACAGGTGGTTTCTGATGGTTAAAAGTTATCTTGCCTATTTCTTCAAATGTCTTCTAATGCTTTGCCTAAGAGCTATTTTTATAATAGGATGCTTTTCATCAAACTGTTTCTGAATCTTTGCTTGAAAACCTCTTTTTATACCAGCAAAAATCCACTATGCCTGGGATCCCAAATGCTCCTTATTTAAACACCAATGTTACAAGATACTCAGCATGCAGAGAATGTCTTGATTCAGCACCATGAATTCATCACTCTCTCTACATTAGGATATTTGCTGCTCACTACTGGAATGGCTTTGTCAACTGAAGACTGGATAACTTTTATCCTTGGGCTAGTTCTTCTCTGGGTACTGATACTCCACATAGGAATACTATGGTGGAACGATGGAGAAGGCTAATCAAAGACAAGCAAAGTATTATGCTGTCCACTTACAGAATGAACCTCCAATTGAATCTAGCTGCAGGAACCAGAATGAGCCTGTTATCCATTCTCGTGTGCAGAACCAGGCCTCAAGTGTATCTTACTTTTATTTACTCTTCTTAAACATGAAATAACTTGTAATTTTTAAGCTATAGCAACAGCAACAACAACAAAAACAAAAGGAAGTAGGCCAGGGCGCCTGGGTGGCTCAGTTGGTTAAGCGACTGCCTTCGGCTCGGGTCATGATCCTGGAGTCCCGGGATCGGGTCCCACATCGGGCTCCCTGCTCAGCGGGGGTCTGCTTCTCCCTCTGACCCTCTTCCCTCTCATGCTCTCTGTCTCTCATTCTCTCTCTCTCAAATAAATGGATAAAATCTTTAAAAAAAAAAAAAGGAAGTAGGCCAAAGTTAAGCTAATAAGCATGTCTAGATTCCATATAGTTTATCTTTTTTAAAGTGGAAGAGGTATAGTTTTGAAATTATTAATGCTATTAATGTGTGTGTGCACACGTGTGCATGTGCTATCTTTGCCTTTTCAGGGAGATACAGCAGAATGCAGAAGAATGATTTTTTGCTAATAGCACTGAATTTATTTTGGAAAACATATTTTAAAAAGGGAGGTATCTTCACTGTAGGTAATCTACCTACTGTTGGTCCTTATTCTTCATTCAACATCCCTTCATTCAATCGGCATTTACCAAGCACCTCCAGCATGCCAGGCATAGTGCTAGGGCTAGGCATATGATGGGAAGCAAAACCCAACATGGTTCCTGCCATCATGTAGCTCACAGTCAAGTGAGGAAACACATTGGTCAAACCCTGAATGAAGAAATGTAAATGTGCAACCCTGCTTACTACTGTGATTGAGAAGGACATAATGCTAGAAGAACATCTTTGACCTGATAGTCAGGAAGGTCCAGGAAGGATTGGAGGAGTTGATGATTGGGGAAAAGAGACAGAGTTTAATTTTACATAATTTTACTAGAAATAAACCACCGTGTGGCTTGACCATTCAAATCACTGAACAAAACTTCCCCTTGGTCTTGCTTTCTCACATGAGGAAAAAGTAGAAGACTCGACTCTATCTCTGACTCCTTTCCCGATTACTTTTGTTCACAGGATGCCTGAGTGACCAGGAGAATGGGCTTCTTCTATACCTTCCACTTCCATCACCACATTTGAGAGAGCTGTTGCACCGGCCTCTCCAACCAAGAAGATTCCTGTGCACCTGCTTGTCCCGTGCAGAGGTGCACGAGTGATGGTGGCAGTGGAGGAGACACTTTGCAGAATACTAAGCAACTGTGTTTCTAGCACATGCCCCCTTCCTGTGTCCCCCCCCCGCCCCAGGAGATATCAATATTTTGCATTCTGCATAGGGAACCTAGAGCAGACTGCATGGCATGACATAGTGTGTGGTCGGGATGCTGCTGAGTGTCAGGGATACACCAGCATTTATCTACTGCCACGGTATCTCTCCTTTGTAGGTAAGAACTAAGAGAATGAATAGGAAGACAAAATGTTCCTTTGAGAAAATCGGCTTAGAATTACTTGTGAAAGAGCAATGTTCTAGTAACGATTATAAGCATGTTGCTTCATGGCAAAATAGCTCCCAATTTTAACAATTTTCACACTTAGGATTCTCAGCTTTCCAACACTGCATTTGGAGATAGTGGAGTTGAACATATTGCAGAAGAAACAACAACAGCTCTTAAAGTGGAAACACATTTCCTACTCTTCAGTAGAGAGCTCTTTGTCACGAATGCCATCAGCCACCAAGCTGGACTCTAATGAAGACTATTTCTTCTTCCAAGAACTGAGGTCCAAGACAATATTGATACATTGGGAGCTTCAAAATATTGGCTCACTTTGTGATATTAAGGAAAACCTTCTTTTAGTTCTCATATGTGGCTTAACCACTACTTTCATAGTCATGTCTTGTAGCTGCCCGATATTCTAGTCATTGCAGGAAATAATCCACCTGCTGCTCCCCAGCTTCATGGCATGCTGTACTATCTATTTGGAAGAGCTGTAGTTGGGTCAAAGTTTCAGAAAAGCACCGGGGGAGGAAGGCAGTGGTAACGGTGAGGACTAGAGGGCTGCACTGCTATGTGCCCAGCTTGCGATGGGCAGAAAGCAGGATGAGATGGCTATTAGGATACAAACACAGATAGATTCTCATGGCAAAGGAAAGATGCCTCAGAGGGTGAACCCTACAGAGCAGAGCTAATAACTGAGAAGAACAATAGATTAGGGAACCACTCCTAAAGAGCAGAATTTAATCAAGGCAACCTTCTTGTCCTGGACATTGCTCATGGAGGAGGGAGTATAATAAGTATCTTGCTGGCTTTTAGAATTCCTTTTGGCCAGTGGCTGCCATGTGCTTCCCATTCCCTACCCCCTTTTTTGAGTAGAAGTATCTATTGTACTTATCCTGTCAGTGTCTCACCACTGTATATTGGGTATGGATAATTGCCTGTTTAGTTCATAGGCCTCTAGATCAAGGGAAGCCATATCCAGGGAGCCACGGCCATACCCTGACCTAACAGAGATCATGAGATCAGTGACTTGGTGCCTGATGCTGTGATGGGAGGTCTAGAGAGGAGAGTGGATGCATCTGGCTGTGGGAGAGACGTGACTTGCGGGAGCTAGGACAAATTATCACAGATAGCCCCCCAATGAATCACACCTCCTTGTGTACATGTTCCTCTGTAGTCTGTCTTTTCTGCACTTCCTATCCAAAAAGGGAGTCTGTTTTCCCATATTTTGAATCTAGACTGGCCTTGTGAGTTGCTTTGACCAGGAGGATGTGGCAAATAAGATAAAGTCTTGCAGCTTTTACTTCTGTTCTCTTGGAACTCTAGAACCACCAACTGTGAAAAATACTAGGCTGAAGACAACACAGAGAGAAAGGTCCTGCTGAGCCCAAACACTAACCGACCCACCAATTAAATGCACTTACATGATGGAGCCCGGACAGCAGCAGCAGGACTACCCAGATAATCCACAAAACCACGAGAAAGTCAATCATTGTTGCTTTTGTTTGGAGAGACAAGTTTTGGAGAGACAGGTTGCATAGCAATAGATAACTGTACAAATATTATCCTAGCCTGTACTCAGTGATATAAACAAGGAGTAAGGATGATTTTTTAAAAAGTAATGTATCTGGGCGCCTGGGTGGCGCAGTCGGTTAAGCATCCAACTCTTGGTTTCGCCTCAGGTCATGATCTCAGGGTCGTGATCTCAGGGTCGTGACATGTAGCCCCGAGTCAGGCTCAGCACTCAGCGGGGAGTCTGTTTGGGATTCTCTCTCTCCCTCTCCCTCTGTTCCTCCCCCTGCTTGAGTGCTCTCTCTCTCTAAAATAAACAAATAAATAAAATCTTAAAAATAAAAAAAGAAATGCATCTATGCATCCCTGATTACTTTTTCCTTCTACTGGTTAAGAGATGATAAGATCTGGAATGGCTGCCTTGGATCCAGAGATGAAAGTGTTGTGCTCAGCACGGCAGAACCACCCTGTTAACTCTGAACTGCTCACCTCTGGGCTGTGATAGGAGAAAGAATTTCTATCTTGTTTAAGCCTTGTTAAACATTTGTATTTGTTTCTCTGTTACAGCAGCTGGGCCTGTTCTACCTAAAGCACAGTGCAAGTCAAATTCTTAAATTTCACCAAAGAAGGCCAACCCATCAACTTTGCCACCATACATCAAATCATCTGAGTCTCTCTTTAAGATACTACAAAGAACACTGGCATATAAAGACAAAAAATTACTTACAGGTGGACTTAGATCCACTGACTGACAAACTCTTTCTTGGAATAATTGGTATTTAAAGACTATGCTTCAAAGTTTAGTAGATTAACCCAGAAACTTATATAGCCTTGGATAAACAAGTTCTCTCCCTATCTGGGAAGTCTGTATACCAAAGTGTGGGGTGTAATTTTTGAGAGATGCACTCCTAAGTAATGAGGGAGGCAGAGAACATAACCAGCTTATCTAGCTAGATGATGCACAGTAAGTTCAGTGATCAATTCGGCGAAAGATGTCACATCCAGAATGGTCTCCAAGAACTTTATGAATAAACCACTCCTCTAGATTGCTAAGCTTTTACCACTGTATTAGTCAGAATGAGATCAGTTACTCCTCAGTGACAAACAATCCCCAATCTCAGTGGCCTAACTCAACAAAAGTTTTAATTCTTGCTTATGGAAGTATGTCCAGTGTAGGTGGGCAAGGAAGTCTGCTTGTTGTAGACAGTCAGGGACCCAGACTGATGTAAACTACGTCTCCAAACATGCTTTCAAAAGCAGAGAACATGGAAGATGCACACGGGCTCTTAAAAATCACACATTTCATTTCCATTCACATTTTATTAGGCCATGTCAAACTTTAAAATGTGTGAGGAAAATATAAATCCTACTATATTCTAGGAAGGAAGCAAGCTGGAAATACGGCTGAATGGCACTATGAATATTCCAAGTGTATGTTAAATCACGACCAGAAAGCTGTACGAGTAGATTTATATCATCTAGGCTTTGCAGAAATGCCTTGACTTAGTCACAATTTAATGCTACAATCTGGGACTCAATTAAGAAGTGTCCACTTGAAGAATGTTTCTTTATCTTTCATAAAATGATAGAGTTAAACCTACTGATCTCTGTGTTATCACCTTACCTGGCATAAGGATATCTATGCATGCTATACATTTATTCTAGAATACTGAGCAAGGAAAAAAATTGTATCTTTTTCTTAAAAATCAGAATGCATTTTTTTCTTTTTACCCAAACATGAGAACTAAATGACCCTGCATTTTCTCCCTTTGTCCTAGGCTGCTAGAAAACAGAGTTAAATTTATTTCCTTATTAATGAAACTAATTCACTTTAAGTTTCTTTTATCCATTTATCTCATTTCTCTGTCAAATGATTTTTAATCTTTCTATTATTTTAATAGTCATTTAAAGGGATCTTTTATATTACAAGATATTTCAAATTGTCCACACAGGGAGGCATTAAATTATCCAAAATCTCTATAAAGTGAAAGTCAGATATAATAATGACTTGTGACTCTTAGCCTTTAACATCTTTTGTTCACTGCCGTACTCCCAGTGCCCAGAACGGTGCTCAATAAATACTTGTTTAGTGGATGAATAAATGAGTAAGTCTGTTTGCCAAGCACGCAGGGGTGTATATGCATGTGCGCCTATGTACACACTCCTACTTTGGGAATTCTGCCCCAGGGCTCTTCTCCTCAAGAGTCATTTTGTGACTACATATAACTAGACTATATGAATTCTTGTAGGTCACCGTAATGATGATCCTGAGATAAATATATGCTCCCAAGAAATAACGCCTATGGCACGTAATAAGAACAGTCACTTTACCTGGATGCAAGAGACCTTGGAATGACAATGGTGATTCTTGTCCATTCCTCAAAGTCCCCCGTGTGATACATGGTGGGCTCACTTAGTTCCCTGGAGTTGCCTTCACATCCTTTGCCTGCAGAAGCTGGGTAACAGCCTTCTTTCACGAGAAACCAGGACATACCCGCATCATGAGAGTACTGAAGAAGAACTGGGGCAGCACTGCTGAACTGATTGGCACACCCTATGTTTAGCTGTCAAAAGGAAAGATGGGATTATCCAAGGTTTTGGTTCCAAGTTATCACTTAACGCATTAGGTCCTACAGCAGCCAGGGTTCTTGCTACCGAGTCTGCCTTATATTGACAACAATAAGACTTTCAGCTCAATTCCAACAAAGACCCTTCCACAGGTTCTAGAAATCTTTAGGTGAACAACAGGTGCTTTTTAAGAAAAGCTGGGCCAGTCACCATTTTGTGGATTTCTTGGGATTATAGGAGGGAAATGGGAAGCAAGGTATCTGTGATGTTGGAGCCAGGGATAAAAATCCAAGAAGCCAAGAAATGGCTTTCTTCTCTCATTCCAGGCATATAAACAGAGGGAAGCAGAAGATGAAGAGCTATCCTCTTCAGAACAAGAAGGTTACCTGAAGAGAGGGCTACCCTCCCTGTTTTCCATGGAATAAGCATCTTTATTTTCTTGCCAAAACTCAGTAAGAAATCATTGCCAACTTAGATCAAAGAGCTAAGTCTTTGCCACTGCATCAAATAAACAAAATAATCTAGAAATAAAACAATTATTGTTCTGGGTACCCATGTAGTGGAATGTCATCATAGAATTAACAACATGAAAAAAATTTGGGAAAAAAAAAAAAGAAAAACAACTTAAATCCCAATGGCCTAGCACAAGTGTTTTTATTTTTTCTGTTTTCTCCTCTAAATTTTAGAAAGAAGTGTATATTTTGGTCATATAGTTGAAGTTATCACACTTCTAGAACTTTCCTTCTACTTTCTATTTAACCTATTATTTTATTATTATATGTGGCATTGCAAAGAATGTATATTTTTTTCTTCAATTGATCTCTTATCACCAGATAAATTTCTAGTAGTAGTATTACTAAGTCAAAACACAGAAACACTTAAAACTTTTTATTTATATGTGTTCATTTTTAATCAATTGGATTCAAATGAATCAGTTTTACCACAGCTTTGAATATTATTCAAGTTTAAAACAGTTTCTTTCTAAATTTGTAAATGTATAAATGATTTTATTACTGTTTTAGTTTACATTTTTTGGTAATTATAAATGTCAAGCTCTTTTCCTTATATTTATTTAATTATATGCTATCTTATATGGATGACCTATTCATATCTTATTTCATTTGTTGGTGGGAGCCACCACAGAATTTTATTGTATAAGACTATAGATAAGAACAGTCAAATTTTATAGAAAAGAAACACTGAAGTTAAGCACTCAGAGGAACATGATCATGACCACAGAATAAAGAATGAAGGAAAGGTAGGGCCGTAGGCAAATAATATTGGCCCAGAGCTCAAGAGGTCAACCAGTTCATCCTTGTGACTACTGGTAGCTTGATCCAGTCTTTCAAAAGAAGATTCTGTATTTTCCTTATTCCCATACTCACAGCTAGAAAGCATCTCTCAGAAGGATTTATAATTGGGCTTGTAGAAATTTTATTGTGATACATTTATCCAAGTATATATAGTTCAATGTCAACAATAATAAGCAAAGACTCGACAATTTCTGATGCATGATTAAACTCTTCTAACACAAATCCTTTTATTTTTTAAAATTTTTTAAAGATTTTATTTATTTGACAGAGAGATGCATAGCAAGAGGGGGAACACAAGCAGGGGGAGTGGGAGAGGGAGAAGCAGGCTCCCCACCGAGCAGGGAGCCCAATGCGGGGCTCGATCCCAGGACTCTGGGATCACGATCTGAACCGAAGGCAGACGCTTAACGTCTGAGCCACCCAGGTGCCCTGACAAATTCCTTTTATTACGCATAAGTAAGCATAGCTTTCGGTTGGTGTACGGTGACAGTAATTACAATAGCCACACACAGTTAGCTTTTCATCATAGACCTCTTCTGACTGCCGTTGTTTCTAAAATAGGCAAGTCTCGAGAACCCTCAGTTCTCGACAAGTCTGTGCCTTTTTTAATTGACCATTTAGCCTGCCTCTTAACTGTCAGTGTTTTCTAGTATTCAATTCTCGGCTTTCTTATCTTTTTAGTCTATACATGCTCCCAAATCTCATTCACAATCATCATTTTAAATCCCTTCTGTATCTGTAACTCCCAGACCGGGCCCCTCTCCAGCTCTCTGGAAATGTCCAGAACTGATTTCTGCCATTTCCCCTTCAGCAGTCCCCAGGCACCCCTCGTTCCACAGGTCCAAGTCTGCTCTCATCATCCGCCACCCTCACACAAATCCTCCTCTGACTGTATGTCCAGTTTCAGTGACTGGAGCCAGAATGGAGTCATTCTCAACTCCATTCTATCATCCAACAGGTCATCAGAACCTGTTGACTATGCCCCTTTAACATCTCTGAGATCCATCTCCTTATTTTTATAATCCCACAAAATGCCTTAATCTGGCCTCCTCATTTCTTCCTTTGATGACTGCTCTAGCATCCTTTCTTTGCTCAGAGTATATTCCACAATCAGAGCACTTCTCTCCTTTCTGCTACCTGTCTCTCCGTTCTGTCTCTTTGTGCTCTAATCGCAATAGCGTCCTTGTGATTTCCTGAACTTTTCCAAGCACACTCTGGATTCAAAGCCTTTGTACTTTTTGTGCCCTGTGCCTGGAATGTGCTTTCCCAGACAGCTACATGACTCACTCTCTTAATTTTTATAGGTCTCAGCTTAAAAGTCATTTTATTAGTGAGGGAACCTGACAACCCTTTATAAAATAATAACTACCCTGCATCACACTTGCTATTCCTATTTATTTCCATAGCCTACAACAGAGCCTGGTGCATAGTAAAGGCTTTATAAATATTTGTTGAATAAATGAATAAATGTACTTGTTGATTACAGTTTCTCCTCTTGTTAAGTCAACACCCATACTGCTGCCAGAATGATCTCTCTAAAACAGGTCTGATTCTTGCACTTAATGGATTAAAAATCTTCCATGACTCATTGCTCTTGGGTTACTGTCCAAGTGGCTTAGTGTATCATATAAAACCAATTAGGATCAACTTTCTCTCTTACCTCTATGGCACATACTCTAAGCTCCTGAAAGTTTCCAAATTGTCTATTCTCATTTGCACTTTCATGTATTTTCATATATTTGCACATTCTGTTCCCTCTAACTGGAATTGTTCCCCCCTCCATTGTTCATCTGGCTAAATCTGTATTTCTGGAGACTTTCCACTTCAATTTATCCTTCCTTCCTTCCTTCCATCCATCCATCCATCCACCCATCCATCCATCCATCCAACCATCCAACTAACAGTTGTTTTTGGAGCACCTGCCAGGCCCTATGCCAGGTACTCTCATAGCATCCAGAGCCTATTTCTACTACAACACTCCTGTGATAATGACTGTTCTCTTTTCTGGCTCACTTGCTAGTTTCTGAGCTCCTTGAGGGCTAGGGCCATATTTTTCATGTCTATATTCCTAGCAACTAGTGTTTGACAAATGGCACGCAGTTTCAAAAAAACGTACCAGCACTGTGTACAAATGACACCAAGTTCTTGTCACAGATTCCAAATATACATTAATCATCAATTCCCAAGTGACCCATAACACATATCTACTATCAACTAATGGTCACAATCAAAAGTTTTCTGCTGATGTGATTTGAGAATTGAGATTCTCAACGCATTGTGCGTTCTTACTGGTTAAGTACTTGGAACATTTAATAATGTTTGCTTGATTTAGATTTTTTAAACATCAGAATATCATCTTGCAGATTTTAACACCTACACTACCATGATTTTGTGACTAATTAAATCAAAAAGGTGTCAGGTGAGAAACAGCATAGTATTCCAGCCAACGTATTTGCTATTGCTGTTATTCTGTTACCATTTTAAGGCAGTACCAACAAATTAATACTGAGTCATATACTGCTATTAATGGTTTTTTCATGGTAGTTTAGCGTCAAACTCTAAACAGAGAAGGATAACATTTCACTGATCATTTTATTTATGACTAACATTCCTTGTTTACGGACCTGTGGAAATTATATTTGAAGAGCTGCCTATAAACATCTGATCTCTTTAATAATTCCATCTGTAAATTATTTACCATCTCTATCCTGCCATTATATAAGGACCACGTAGTTGTGCTAGCTCATTAAAACTGCATTACTTTCAACCCCAGAATTCACCAATGGGATTTTATTATAAACAAAATGAAATCTTGATTAGGCTTCTGAAAAAAGAGCTTGTCAAAGTAAGTACTTGCTATACACATTGACATGTTATCACAGTGCTGAAAAACAGCAAGCTTTTAAGAGAACAGTGATAATTAAGGTACAACTTTACTAAATCAAAGGAAGGGCAACTGTTTGAAAGTACTATAGTAAAACCACAAAGTAACTCATAAGTCCAAAAAGCACTCATAAACTGAAAAAGAGAGCTTCTCTCTTAACATTCAGAAGCACGGGATTCATTAAGTCACAATCAGACTGAAAATCTAGAAGTCAGTTTTCAAACTGACCAGCTTTTGTCCTTGTGGGCAGAGCTAACTGGACAGGTGTGCCATTCTAAGATCATCGAGCCTCTTTCAGGTGAGTCCCTTCCTTAAGAGAGTTTGAAAAATTTGTGTCCTTTCGATTTCACCTATGGGTCTGGAAGATGTTCTATTCTTTGACCTGCCCTGGGAGGAGATCTGTGCATAAATACCTTGAACTGTAGCACATATCCAGGTTTCAAAGTCAAATCTCGAGTTACTGCAAATCGATCCCCGTCTGATTTTCCAAATACCATGGCTGATGGTGTTGCAGAGCAGAAAGTTTCATTTTTAACCATCCCTTCATTAGCCAACATCAACCACACACTCATTTGATTCATCGGGTAATCAAAAGCCGGCTTCTCGTAAAAGTTCTAATAGAAACAATGCAGATAACACAGAAAGGCAATTGGATAGCTTTGAAAACAAGAAAGGAATTTTCAGTTCATGATATGCAGGGCTATGTGCCATTTGTACTTCTAGGAAAATACAGCAGAATCTCTAAATTATTATTTTTTTTTACTGCCACAAACTTTTTTTTCCTGATGATTTAACAACAGAAAATATTTTGCCACTATGTATCTAATTTTATAAACACAGTAATAATCGTACTTGATGCCTTGGCCAGACTTCCTAGTCTTTTTATATCTATCTATCTATCTATCTATCTATCTATCTATCTATCTATCTATCATCTATCATCTATCTATCTAAATAATCTGTGAACTGGTAGCATAGAGAGATAACAGAACAATTAAGTGCAAATCAGAAAAGTAAGTACAAACACTGAAAACTTACATTACTTATAAAACTTACATTCAAGGGTCAAGCACTAAATTTTGGGGGGAAGTGAGAAGTTCTTTAATCCCATCTACTCTTACAATCTTGTCTTCCTGGAGCTCAGACATAAGAAAGATACCTGAGGTAAAGTTGGGTTCACAATCGGGATGACCTGCTTTTGCTTCTCTGACAGGATGATGATGTCATCGACGGCCCACTGGTCGTAGCCCTCCCCCGAGAACACAGGCTGCCACCAGCGAAACCTGGTGCAAGGGGTCTTAGCAGCAGCTGGGAGCTCCAGGTAGACAAATCTGCATAAAAGGAAATCATTTATGGCTGGAAAGGAAAAGCCGTGTTCTTAGCAGCTGTTAAAATAACAAGAATAGCAACAAGAGAAAGTTCAGTTTTGTTTTGGTCTCCTGATATTTTTTAAAAGTTTCTAAGTTTATTTTTTCTTAAGCTTTTATTTACTTGAGAGAGAGAGACAGAGAGCGCACGAGCAGGAGTGGGGAGAGAGAGAAGCAGACTCCCAGCTGAGCAGGGAGCTCGACGCGGGGCTCGATCCCAGGACCCTAAGATCATGACCTGAGCCAAAGGCAGACGCTTAAGCATCTGAGCCACCCAGGCGCCCCCAAAAGTTTCCAAGTTTAGAGAGATCAAGAGGTTTAAGATCTTAAGTGCCTTTAGTCCTGGTCATGTTTATTTCATTTGGAATTGTACTTTTTGGAGGCAGATATTTCTACTAAGTTTGATTTACTGAACAGTCGTTTGATTACCATGACAATGGTATCATATTTTTAAGAAAAACTTCGAAAAAACTGTTCCTTTGTATGTTATTACATTAAAATAGCATTAATTTTTTTTCCAAAGCAGTTCTTATTGTGCGTTAATAGGAATTAAAATGAAACAGAAGATCACCCATAATCTTCTGCATGGGGTTAACCTCTGTTAACACCTTGATGTATATCATAAAAGCATGTAATCTTTTACATAGGTGAGATGTATGTAAAATACAGTTTTTATTTCAGTTTAAAATTTCGTATTATATAATAAGTACATTCTCATGTCAGTATAATTCTTTCTTTTTAAGATTTTATTTACTTATTTGTCAGAAAGAGAGAAAGAGAGAGAGAGCACAAGCAGGGGGAGCAGTAGAGGGAGAGGGAGAAGCAGACTCTCCGCTGAGCAGGGAGCCCAATGTGGGACTCGATCCCAGGACCCTGGGATCATGGCCTGAGCCAAAGGCAGATGCTTAACTGAGCCACCCAGGCATCCCTAATTATTTCTTAAGATCATTTTACTGTCTATATATTTTCACGACACATACTATTGTTTTACTTTCTCCTGTTATAAATAATTCTGTAATGAAAATCTTTATGCATAAAGCTTTACCTACACCTCAGTTTCTTTCTCTTTTTTTTTTAAGATTTTATTTATTTATTTGACAGAGAGAGACAGCGAGAGAGGGAACACAAGCAGGAGGCGTGGGAGAGGGAGAAGCGGGCTTCCTGCTGAGCAGGGAGCCCGATGCGGGGCTTGATCCCAGGACCCTGGGATCATGACCTGAGCCGAAGGCAGATGCTTAACGACAAAGCCACCCAGTTGCCCCTCCCAGTTTCTTTCTTTCTTTCTTTTTTTGTGTACTACATAATATAATTTATTTATGTATTTATGTATTTATTTATTAACATATATTATTTGTTTCAGGGGTACAGGTCTGTGATTCATCAGTCTTACACAATTCACAG